AGGCCTCTCAAGTAAACTGAACTCGCTGTCATGTTCCAGGCGATTTCATGTTCCACTCCTCAATTGTCCAGTGTTGGTAATCGTGTGCCCACTGAAGCCACTTCTTCTTGTTTTTAGCTGATAGGAGTGGAACCCGGTGTGGTCATCTACTGCAATAGCCCATCCGTGACAAGGATCGAGTTGTGCGTTCTGAGATGCCGTTCTGCACGCCACTGTTGTACTGCGCCGTTATTTGTCTGTTTGTGGCCTGCCTGTTAGCTTGAATGATTCTTGTCATTCTCCTTCGACCTCTCATCAACGAGCTGTTTTCGCCCACAGGACTGCTGCCGACTGGATGTTTTTTGTTTGTCGCACCATTCTCGGTAAACCCTAGACACTGTAGTTCGTGAAAGCCCAGTAGGGCGGCCGTTTCTTAGAACTGGATCCGGCCCTCCCGATGATCTGTCTTTAGAATGTTGAGATGTAGAATGCCATTAATGGTTTCCACGGCAAACCCAATTGATTTCCTTGTGATGCACTAGATCCATGCAGGTGTTGGTTACTGTATGTGGCCAGGGAAAGATGGAGATTCAAATAAAAACAATTTAAAATGTAAACATTTTTCAGGAACTTCTTGTGTGGAGTGGTTCATACAAAAAAACAGTACAGGCAATAGAGGACATCATATAAATTGCCAAACAAGACTTCAAAAAAGCAGTCAGTGTGTGTGTACACAGAATGCTGGTCTCTTTCCCCTGAGAGCTTGACTGTGCACACTTCCTTTACTCTGCAAAGTGTGTGTGATGCTGCTATATGCTAAATGCTCTCTCTCTTCCTCCCTCTCTTTTTTCATTTGACATTTTTTGATAATAACCTTTTTAATAACCCCCTCCCTGTCCTGTCCCTGTATTTAACAATAATGATTGTAGGAGCCCCCTTCTATCCGTTCCTCCTGCCTGAGGCTGAACCACTCTCTTATCACTTCCTGAGGGCCCCGGGGCCTCTAATCATAATTCTCCCATCTCTGACCACCTACACACAGCTCAACGACTACCCCTCTCCTCTACCATTTTTTACAACTTACACACAGCTCAATAACGACCTGTCTCCTTACACACAGCTAAAGGACAACTCTTCTCCTCTCTCTCTCCCCCCCTCACATCGCAGCTGAGTTTGGGTGTCTACACACATGTAACCAGTTCAACTGAATACTGAAAACTCATCTATGATGTTGCAATCAAAAAATACATTCTTCAGTATTATTAATGTGCAGCAAGACACATTTTTGGAGGATTGTTTTCTTTCGGCCAATTGGGGGAGAGAGAGAGTAAAAACAGAGGAGAATGCCTTAAAGTGTTGTGTGACTTGGTGTCAGGCCAAGACACGGATTGTCCTGACAGGGAGCAGTGAGCCCTTTGTGGGGTGGAATCAGTTCACCATCCTCGCTGCGGATGGCATGGCACAGAGCCTACTAACGTCACATGCGGCAGGAGACAGACAGGGCTGTCATTCACTGTCAAAACAGTTCCTGCAAAGCGGGAGGCCCACACTGGTCAGACGAGTTGGGCTCGACTCACCTTGGCGGCTCTGCAGATTCCAGGTATTTAGTAGCTTGCTCGGCTGACTGGGCCACAGCACAGTAATGACAGGCAGCAGTAGCTCTGTGGAACTAGCTGAGGAATCATAATCGACTCAACATTAGGTGCAAGTCATTTTTTTGCCTGCTATAGACACCACCTCCTGGGCTTTAGTGTTAATACCTCAGTGTGTTCTATATGTGCAGTGACATGATGTATTATATTATAGAGGTGCCTATCAAGGTGATGCTATAGGCACCGCTGGTGTTGTCGTAGCATGCAATATTCACCCTCTTGCGACCCGGGTTAGACTCCCAAGCGGCACCCCCCTAGAAACCAGTCATGGTGAATGGTTGTGCACGGGGATAGCAACCCCATCCCATAAACAGCAACAAATATAGGTGATGCTACTGTTGTGTATAGTGGGGGTATTGAGGTAGTGAGTTGGAGCTCTTAAGTAGAACAAGGCTGTCTGTCTATATTGGCCTGACTGACTGTCCCTCCCTCCAGGATCAATAGTGAGCTCTTAGGCGATCGACTGACTGTGCTCAGAGGGCTGTGGGCTGTGCCTGCCTACCTGCCACTCGGCTCTGCCACAGAAAGAGAGAGAGAGCCGGCTGCTGTTGGTGACGTCACCCTCCCATGGGGCTGTGCACCGCCTCTCTCGTTATCCCAGCTCGGGCTCTCTGGCGAGGCAGAGGAGAAGTCTAAACATCCCAATCTCCTGTCTGGCTCTCACACACACACACCAACATACATACATAGGATTGTATGCCCATGCACGTACGCACACACAAACACACGTGCATGTAGCGTGCACTCTCACTCACTCACACACCATCATGCACACAAGGGGCCACAGAGTGGACTCGCTTATCCTAAAAACCCAAGCCTCATTTCCCCTCATTTCCTCCCTGAAAACATATTTCCCCCTGAGCCAATAGCCCTCCACCAACAGAGTAATCTTATGAGAAATGCTCTTGGATCCAAACACAAATACCCCACCCCCCTCCGACACTCATCCATCCCCAGTGGGAGCAGAGTAGAGTGAGTGCTCAGACTTTTTATCCCACTCCGGGGGTGTCCACCAAAATAGGAGTCACATGACAAGCCATGACCTGAATCCTGCCCTTGTGGCCCTAGAAGGAGGACAGGGGGATGGAGGTAGAGGGGGGTAGCTACTATCTCCTCAACCTCTGGTGCCATCTGCCAGTGACTTTGCAAAAATGCAAATCAGCTACCCACAGTGCACAGCAGCTGCACTCCATCGGAATAGCCTACAAAAATAGGACAGACGCACCATGAGCCTAGTGTCTCCGGCAGCATGCATTACTGCTTTGTGTGATGGGAGATAAAGATGAGTGGGGGGGTGGGGGGACTCTTCACAGAGAGAGACACACAGTCTGTATCTGGAGAGGCCCTTGTGTGCATGCATGTACAATGCTGTAAAAAATCTGAGCGCGAGAGAGAGAGAGAGAGAGAGACAGAGACAGAGACACAGAGAGCAAGGGAGAGAGAGCAAGAGAGGAGGGGAGGAGGGTGGATAAAAGAGAGAAGAGAAAAGGAGTCGGGGGAATATTTTAAATGAGTTCTGGCAGTGAAACAAAGGCTTCGCTTGACTTTGTCATTTACCAAGCCAGCGAATGCTCTGCCAGCCAGCCAGCGAGAATGGCACAGTGCGTGCCGCTCTTCTCACTGCTCCAAACGCGACACTGCTCTGTTCTGTCCCCTTCTCTCTCTTTCCGCCGAACAATCACCCGGCAGTCCCCATCCAACCAACAACACACAAGCCCGCTGGCAGTACCGGGTTTATTCTACCAGCACCATGCATCCCACACACCATCCTCAACAACCCAAATACAAATCCCCAGCATTCTTCTCCCCTCCGCCGCTTAGCTTTCTTCAACCATAACCAATTATTTCTTGTCGGATGCTAAAAAAAGATCAAAGACCCCCAGGTGAGGATGGGTGTGTTAATGAGAGTCAGACAGGCAGGCAGAGCAGAGAAGCAGGCAGCTGATGCAACGCCGTGGCAAGGCTAGTGCAATCCAGGCAGCTGAGTTCTATTTCTCGCAGGATGACTGCGATGAATTATGCATCCCCTTAGAGCAAAAAAGCTCATCTCTCCCCACCCCCCTCTCGCTCTATCCTTCTCTCTCCTGCTGCAGTTCGGTTCTGTTCCAACCAGTCTCTGTGCCCTGGATGAGCATTAACATGCAATCCGAGGAGGCTCCATCTCTCTCCTCCTGCCCCTAACACATGTGAAGCTCAGTGGCACAAGGGGTACAGTCCACTGACTGATGTAATCTACTGTCCGTGTGCTTTGTGAATGTCATTGCGACCTGCTGAGTGCATATGTTGCAGGATATCAAACACATGCATAGTATTGTATGCACATTGCACACAAGCACGCACTCACACCCCTTGGGCCCTTACAATTATACACTGGTGCGAGATGTGGTAGGTTGTGGTTTCATATCACACTCCCATTGGAAAGTAGAGTCCTTCACTGCAGTAAAACTGGAGAAACTGGAAATGAAACACTTCCATTTTATTCCTCCATTGTGTTTATATTCTGTTTTTATATACTCACATATCAGATGACCCTGAGAGAAATGTGCTTGTGTCTGACCTTGAATTCACCCATTCAGTTAAGTGGAGGAGAGAACACTAGTCATTTAATGTAGTGTTCAGTGACCGCAGGGGGAAAGAAGTGTTCGATCAATAACAAAAGAAACGTCCAAAAACAGGGCAAATCCTTTAATAAGGACAATAGCTAACCTGTCAAGCATGAAGAACAATACCCAAACCCCAAGAACAGAGATCATGGTGATGCAATCAGCTACAATAGTGTCCTAAAACCATTCTCTCTCTCTCACCACCCTTCAATGTCTTTTGTTTCTCTGGATGGTTTTGGTCTCTTCAAGCCAGTGTGTGAAGTCTGTTCAGTTGGCTGTTCATAATTCAGCATTCTGGGGTTTCTGTGGCACACTGTGTTGATAGTTCTAGCACTCGAGAGGGCATAGCCTAATCACACACAGGCCTGTTTCCACTGCCAGTGTGGAGGCAGAGCCTGGTGCCATAGCGGGTGGTACTGCATGGGGCCGGAGAGCGATCAGGGTCCTGCTGCACGCTGGCCGTGTGTATGGACCGTGTTTATGTGTGAGTGTATCCATACATGAGTGTGTATTTATGCACTAAACACATATGGGTATGTGTGTGAGTATATGTGTGTGTGTACTGTATGTGTGTGTATGTTAACCCTGCTACTGCAGACTGTCAGTAGAGTGGAGTGGACCTACTACTTCCCCAGCTGCAACAGCCCGGGTCCCCGGCCCAAAACGCTGTAATTATGTCAGATTAGTGGGGGCTCTTTCTCCAGACCGGCTGCCAAACATTTTGTCCCAGATTACTGTCCCGCCACTAAGCTGCTGAACTCGGTCAGTGGCGGGCGGCTGCCCCGGGTGGAATTACACCGTCACGGGCGCCGTAGGGGGGTGGCAGGGTTGGCAGGGCCACAGGGCTCTCACCGGGACACTTGACCTCCATGAGCACAGGGCAGACCTGGTGTTAGCCATACCAGGCAGTCATACCCTGAGTCCTCTGGCTGTATCAATGGAGGGTATGATATGGTATTACTCAAACAGTTCATAGTGTGTCTACTTTGCCTAATGCATTTAGAAGTCATTAAGGGATCCTGATTACTTTCTAATTGCTTTTTGACTACCTACATCCATTTTGTACGACTTTGCTCTGAGCTCTGTGCGGATTGGTTCCCATACCACCTGCCATCTTTCTGTTTATAAGTGAGAGAAGAAAGTGGAGTTACAGAAACAAAGGGGGAGATGGTTTGACACTTTTTTATTCAATCTGAACCAAAATCAGATGTTTAGAGAGAAATCCTGAGTAACAACACCATATTTACTTTCAGTAAAGTACTTCATTGGAACGGAATCACGGTCCACCTTGAAGAATTAGTGGGTCATAGGGTGTGTTATACACACCTGTTTCACATCTAACCACACGTGAACACAGCATATCATCAACATGTCAAATACATATCAAGTACTTAAGTGGACAGTTCAACTGGAGGGGGGGGGTTAGGGTAATGTTTCAATGGCAGTACCCCCCTCTCTGGGCTAGCATACTGTACACATAGAACCCCCACACTATACTCCCATCCCCCCTACCACCCCTTAAGGCATCAGAGAGAGGACTTCAGAATGTCAAACACCTTCAGGGCAGACTCGATACAGCTGTCGAAATTGGAATGTGTGAAGCCGTCGCCCCCACACACCAACATAGGCTGGGACAGCAGCGTCATCTGCCCTGGGCAGTCGGCCACCGAGCTCCTCACCTAATTAGTAGAGAAAGTGAGAGGGGTTGGGGGGTAGAGAGAAAGAAAGAAAGAAAGAAAGAAAGAAAGAAAGAAAGAAAGAAAGAAAGAAAGAAAGAAAGAAAGAAAGAAAGAAAGAAAGAAAGAAAGAAAGAAAGAAAGAAAGAAAGAAAGAAAGAAAGAAAGAAAGAGAGAAAGAAAGAAAGAAAGAAAGAAAGAAAGAAAGAAAGAAAGAAAAATAGGTAGATGGAGAGAGAGAGAGAAATGAGGGCCATAGAGCAGCAGGTGGAGTGGCCCTAACGATCACTAGACCCAATAGAGAGGGCTGATTAGTCCTTCATGCTGCTGCTGAGCAATTGAGTGGAATTGGCAGCTCACTGTCCTTCACTGATAAATAATGCATTGATTGTATACTACACTACTGGAGCCCAATGGTTGTCATGGTCACAGATTTATCTATTTCTACAGCTACAGTAGAATGCATATTGAGACGATGATTTGTTTGTGCTACAATTATCCTGAAATCCAGAAAACTATCTGTGCTCAAGTTACCTCTGGATATACGTGGTGGGATACCACAGATCAAGCCATAAAATGCACTGCCTTTGGCTAGACACACAGATATCAAATCAGCCTTGCAGCCAACTGTCTTCCTCATGTTAAAATCCTGAACGCTGAGAGTTGTGTGTTAATGACTTGGGAGTGTAAACACACAAGCCTGTGTACGTGTTGTAGCTTCTGTCAGAGGCTTCTGCTGGCCATTCTAAGAGGAGAGGCAGCAGATAGATAAACATCAAGGTACGCTGCCCTGCACCGCTAAGGGTAAGGAAATAGTATCCATTTCCTGCTGGGGCTTTTAATAGGCATCGTTATAGGCTACTATGTGCTGCTATCATAACCCCCACCCTCCACCTCCCTTCATCCCCACTCCTCCCCCAAAACATAATTTTTTTGTTTGCTCATGCATCCTTGAAAGGTCATCACCATGTAAATCAATTGATGATAAGCATTTTTGTTGAAATGTGGCCATGGACAAATTGTTTGGTTCACTCTAGTGGTAAGTTGATACAGCAGCCCTGGGCCCTGCCGTCTCCATATACAGTGTGAGGCTGATTTTCCAGGGCAAAGAGCACGGAGCGCGGAGGAGGAGGATTTGGGACGTTAAGATAAATCCCCCAATATAAACAAGTTTAATCGCAAGGAAAGCAAGAGAATTCGGCAGCTGAGAATATGTCTGTTTCATAAGAGAAGCAATCTAAAGAGAAAGCAACCTATAACCTACATTTTAGCAACAGTTAACTGCTATAACTGTTAGGGTCAATCATTTATTTGTGTCTCTCTGTCACAATGGTCTTTGTTAGAATAACTGCTAGTGCATTTGACAGGGAGCTGATGTGTGTACAGTATGAGTGAGTGTGCATATGTGTGTGTGTGTGCGCATTCCATTATGCACGTGTGTGTGTCTATATTATAGTACGAATGTGCTTGTGTGTGTGTGTGTTCTATCATGGCCCATCCAGTTCCAGTGGGCCTTGGCCCATGCTCTGGCACTCCCAGTGATGTGGCCTCCCACACAGATGTTCTGTGGCCTCTGACCCCCAGCCCAGCCCAGCCTCCCTTAGCAGAGGATGTGTGGGTGTGTGTTGGAGCGAAAGAGAGAGAGAGATAGCTAGAGAGAGCACATCTAAGAGATTGAGTGATGTAATCACTGAGTGTGTACTTCACTCACTACAGAAGAGTGATGAACAGCTCTGAGAGCCCTTGGAGGACATGTTCTTGCTGGACATAAGTAGTGTAAATAAAGTCACAGTATCTGGTCCAAGAAGCACACAGAAATTCAGGGAAACATCAGAGTAAACAGGACATTGGAGCTACTTGAAAAAGGAACAACATGTCCAACCAGTCTCCGTATACTACACTCATGTGGTATACACAAGCAGAGAAACGTAATACATTGAAGTTTAGTAGGGTGTGATCGTGATAGATCATGATGGTCACTCATCATGGTGCTTTACACAGAAGAGTAGTTTTATTGAACCGAGTCAACCCTCTACTTAGACATTCTTCCATGTATCTTGACAGGATTATGAAGTAGCAACAGTTATTTCTCTTAAAGTATTTATTAAGAAAAAAACTCTTGGTATACTTCCTCTTCTCTCAATGAATGAATGAAATAAAACTCCTGGTATTATCTCTCCTCACTCGAGGAAGTAATACAGTAAAACTCCTGTCTGAGTAACCCCTCTCACCTGTGAGTATCTCCACTTCTGGCACTTGATGCTGTCGGGCTGTGGCAAGCCAGGCAGCAGCTTGTTCAGCTCCTCCAGGATGGTAGGCTCCACCTGCTCCTTGGCCTCCTCCAGGTGTTTGATACCAAATGGAACAGTGGTGTGGACCACCATGGAGGGACCGCATTCAGGGGATTTTGCACAGGCAAGCACATACAGCACAGTTCAGAACCATACCACCATGACTTTGCACAGCACAGCACAGGGACACACAGGTATATGGCACAGCTAAGAACACAGTTCAGTTCAGAATTTTTTATTCAATTCGTTTTTTAAGACAATTATGTTTTGGCCATACTGACCTTCATCAGAATCGACTTCTAAGTCAGTGAAAGCACCATCATCATAATGTATTGAGAAGATACTTTTTCAGAGAGAACTAAAATAAAAGACCTCAGACTTGAACAGCTGGAGACGGAAAAAACTAAGATCAAATCCAATTTTATTTGTCACATGTGCCGAATACAACAGGTGTAGACCTTACCGTGAAACGCTTACTTAAAAGCCCTTAACCAACAATGCAGTTAAAGAAATAGAGTTAAGAAAATATTTACTAAATAAACTAAAAATAACACAAGAAAATTACATAACAGGGGGTACCAGTACCGAGTCAATGTGCGGCGGTACCGGTTAGTCGAGGTCATTTGTAAAGTGACTATGCATAGATAATAAACAGCGAGTGTGTGTGTGTGGGGGGCGGGGGGTCAATGTAAATAGTCCAGGTGGCCATTAATTGTTCAGCAGTCTTATGGCTTGGGGGTAGAAGCTGTTAAGGAGCCTTTTGGTCCTAGACTTGGCGCTCCGGTACCACTTGCTGTGCGGTAGCAGAGAGAACAGTCTATGACTAGGGTGGCTGGAGTCTTTGACAATTTTTTGCTTAATATAATCCAAAATCATCCTTGGCATTAAGGTCGTTCCCATAATCTGACAGCGGAATACTTTGATGGGATTCTGACTCCAGGACAAAAAAGTAGGTTCTTATCTCCGTCCTGATGCTTTATTAAGAGTCACATGCCAATACCAAACGGGGATCCTCCGACAAGACACGTCATGGCTTTTTAATGAGCCAGACTTCCGTACCCAGAAGCCCCTGCTTCTGCATAAATGTAACAAGACCAGCTTGATTTGTTAGGTAAATGTCTCACTCAGTCAGCCTGTGAGGTTGCTGTGTGTATGTACAGTGCATTCGGAAAGTATTCAGACCCCTTCACTTTTTCCACATTTATTTTTGCAAATATGAAATATTACATTTACATAAGTATTCAGACCCTTTACTCAGTACTTTGTTGAAGCACCTTTGGGAGCAATTACAGCCTCGAGTCTTCTTGGGTATGACGCTACAAGCTTGGAACACCTGTACTTGGGGAGTTTCTCCCATTCTTCTCTGCAGATCCTCTCAAGCTCTGTCAGGTTGAATGGGAACGTCAGGTCTCTCCAGAGATGTTCGATCGGGTTCAAGTCCGGGCTCTGACTGGGCCACTCAAGGACATTCAGAGACTTGCCCGAAGCCACTCCTGCGTTGTCTTGGCTGTGTGCTTAGGGTTGTTGTCCTGTTGGAAGGTGAACCTTCACCCCTGTCTGAATCCAGAGCGCTCTGGAGCAGGTTTTCATCAAGGATCTCCCTGTACTTTGCTCCGTTCATATTTCCCTCGATCCTGACTAGTCTCCTAGTCCCTGCCACTGAAAAACATCCCCACAGCATGATGCTGCCACCACCATGCTTCACCGTACGAATGGTGTTGGCCAGGTGATGAGCGGTGCCTGGTTTCCTCCAAACGTGACACTTGGCATTCAGGCCAAAGAGTTCAATCTTGGTTTCATCAGACCAGAGAATCTTGTTTCTCATGGTCTGAGAGTCTTTTAGGTGCCTTTTGGCAAACTCCAAGCGGGCTGTCATGTTCCTTTTACTGAGGAGTGGCTTCCATCTGGCCACTCTACCATAAAGGCATGATTTGTGGAGTGCTGCAGAGATGGTTGTCCTTCTGGAAGGTTCTCCCATCTCCACAGAGGAACTCTGGAGCTCTGTCAGAAAGACCATTGGGTTCAAGGGCACCTCCATGACCAAGGTCCTTCTCCCCCGATTGCTCCGTTTGGCTGGGCGGCCAGCTCTAGGAAGAGTCTTGGTGGTTCCAAACTTCTTCCATTTAAGAGTGATGGAGGCCACTGTGTTTTCGGGGACCTTCAATGCTGCAGAAATGTTTGGTACACTTCCCCAGATCTGTGCCTCGACACAATCCTGTCTCTGAGCTCTACGGACAATTCCTTCAACCTCATGTCTTGGTTTTTGCTCTGACATGCACTGTCAACTGTGGGACCTTATATAGACAGGTGTGTGCCCTTCTAAATCATGTCCAATCAATTGAATTAACCACAGGTGGACTCCAATCAAATTGTAGAAACATCTCAAGGATGATCAATGGAAACAGGATGCACCTGAGCTATAATTTCGAGTCTCATAGCAAAGGGTCTGAATACTTATGTAAATAAGGTATTTCTGTTTTTCTATTTTTAATACATTTGCAAAAATGTCTAAAAACCTGTTTTTGCTTTGTCATTATGGGGTATTGTGTGTAGATTGATGAGAATTTTTATTTATTTAATCAATTTTAGAATAAGGCTGTAACGTAACAAAATGTGGAAAAAGTGAAGGGGTCTGAATACCTTCCCAATGCACTGTATGTTGAGTGTTTGGTAACTGTACACACAACAAAAAGGCTTGGAGTGCTGTCTGCTGAGGATCCGGTTGTGTGGTGGTGACATCATGCGGGGAGTGGACACGGTGAGATCCTGTTTCTAATGACAGACAGACAGACAGACAGAGCTCCTCTCGGCTCTGAACCATACAGGATGTTTTGCATTGATTTATTGAGGCTGTACGTCATGAAGTTCTCTCTAATGACATCGTCTTAAAACCATATTTAAACTGATTTTGGAGAATAATGGTTTACTGCCGCCAATAAACATGTCCCGCAATTGACCTGCTGGAGCGGGAAACAGTTACTACAAGGTCAATCATTTCCTCCAGCTTGGCTCGTTTTTTTAAGCGGCAGACGGGACAACGTTGCGGGAGTGAGCGCACACACATCAAAACACAGCCGGTTGTTTTGTTTGGAGCCAAGCTGGAGATGCTGAACTCCCTTGTGGGGAACTAGGGATGGTCACTGTGGGGACAGTGTAGGGACAGGGAGACTCCAGTTTGGTGACAGTGACTATAGCACACAGACAGGCTACAGCACCCATTTGCTGGGGTCTGTCCTACTTCTGTCCAGTGGGCCATTCTGGTTTGGCTCATGGGTAAGAGAGCCACCCTAACCAGTTTTTGACATCAGAGTGCCCAGGCATAGGGCCAGCCAGAGAGAGAAAATGAGAGAGGGAGAGAAAGAAAGAGGAGGAAGACAAAACAAAGATGAGAGAAGTATGAGAAAAAGTTCAAGATAAAGAGACAGAAAGAGGTGGGGAAACAGTGTGTAGGTAGGAAGGTAAGTAGGTGAGAGACTGGCACAAACTCTTCTTCTGAGGGAGAAGTAATAGAAAAACACACAGGTTACTAAGTTCACTGGGTAGACAGGCTCCACTCAGAGCAAGTTGGCACCAAATTATGCATTGTGCAATTTGCACGAGTTGTTAACTCACTTGCATATTTCATTCCAATCGGAGTACAGATGAAACTCTGAACATGTAGCTGTTTACTCCTAAATCTTCCTCAGGGGACCGTCCTGTCTTGGTGGTGACACAGGAGGGCCATTGTCCTGTCCTGTGTGCTCTGTGTGTGACAAGTGTGACCTGACACCTGTTCCCCTGGTCACAGCAAGCTCCCCATTTTAGATCACTCCAAAGAGTTGGAGAGACGCTCCACAGCTATTCTTACGGTGCCACTCCTGCTCTCTGCATTCACAGGCTTTCAAAGGGCCAGTCAGAAATCATCCCTAATACCCCCTGCTTACTTGAGCTACAAGCAAAATACATTACACAAATGAAAAAGAAGATTCAAGCGTAGCGGGGGAGGGCGAGAGGAGGAGCGCAGTAGCAGCACCCGGCAGAGGAGCCTTGTAGAATGAAACATTTACCAGCTCCTCTAATTAGGATATTGCCTTCCGAACACTGGAGTGGATGAGAGGTGACAGGTGCGTGCACACTTTCAAAGACTATCTATCGCTCTCTTTCTCACACATACACGAGTGATGTGCAAACATGCGCTTGTGCACACACACACACACACAGTCACTATCGTTTCTCACTGAAGCACGCACACACACACACACACACACACACACACACACACACACACACACACACACACACACACACACACAAATACATATTTGTCTCTCTCTGAAACAAACACACACACACACACACCCCTCCAGGTCTGATATAAGATTATGTTGTTCCTTCTCATAGCAGCAGTTTTCTAGCAGAGCTGCTAATGAAGGCTGGTGTGTGTGTGTGTGTAGAAGCCTGATTTCAGGGTGTTGTGCTGTGTGTGCTCTCCTACTCAGTGTCTGCTGCATCTCCCTTCTGTGTTCAATCAGTAATGAAGTGTGACTACCAATGGACTGGGCTATCCCAACACTCACAGAGCCATTCAAATACTAGGAACTACGGAGGCTCTCCCCAGCACGGCAGCACCGTCAAAAAAGTGAGGTTGAGTTTGAATGAAAACATCATAACTTTTTTGAATGTACACCAAATGCAGCTTCACAAAGTCAAGGAAGAATCCAGTGGACTGGAGGCATAAGCTAGCGAGGAAAGTTAAATGCCTGCTGAACAGTGGCACTCAATTAGAGAGCAATTCTGATGCATGCCTTCCAGAGACGGAGAGAGGGGGGGAGAGAGTGAGACAGAGACAGAGATGCAGAAAAGCAAACAGAAAAGAGAAAGGAGATAAAAAGAGACGCAGACAGAAAAAGAGTGGAAATAAAGAGAGACAGACAGAAAAACACACACACACAGAGAAAGAGAATGGGAGCACTGACCTAAATTGCACTTTTTATCGTCAATGGCGATAAAGCAAATGCAGGGATTATTGGAGACGTACTTGGCGGCCCAGGGGACGTCGATGTGAGCCTGGGCTTTGTAGAAGAGGCCCAGTGTGTAGCGCGACGAGTAGCTCACCGCTTCAAGCTGCTGCCGCTGACTCTCCTCTAGCACTGTCACATAGGGAAACAGAGGGACAATGTCAGGGAGTTTAAGCCTGTTACCAGGCCAGCATCAGGTAGCTGAGCCTGGAGACACAGAACCTACAGTATACTTACAATGGATACCACTGTGAGGTGATGGGACTTTGTACCGAAGTCAAGGTACCTGTCAAGCTTACAGTTACCAGTGTCAGGCTTCACTCATTCATTCCCACTGAGCCCTCTACCATGGGACATTAAATGACATGGATTACATTTTCTTAAAGGATTTGATTCAATCAGGCTTACAGCAGTAATATTAATGCATTATTGAAAAAAGGGACATATAATACTCTTACTCTGCACGCTAGACTCCAGTTATGATATTAATGATATCTAATGATGTTTGTGTGCTCACAGTATAATCAACGAGCAAGCATTCTGTCTACTGAGGCAAGATGGCTACTGCCTACCAGACCACATGCATAAACCCTGTAAGCTTGGGTGCAACTAAACAACTTAACTAACGTCCATATTGCACATTGTAGAGACTGAGCAGAGGGAGAAGAGATGTTCTCTCCTTAGTTTATTTATAAGGTCTTTGGACTTGTTGTTTTTTAAAGCAATGCTGTCCTTGTTTCCAGTCTGAAACATCTGTTGTTTATTGGCCTCTGAAGCGCTAGCTTGGCCGTGCTTTAGTTATTTAGGGCCCCAGAGTATGGAGCATACACAGGTCAGAGGTCAACGCTGCGGATTCTAATACATATTTCTACTAGACACGTTGAACAAAAAAATAGCTATTTTCATCTAGGCCAACAGTGAGTCCTAAGAAAAGCAGCAAGCAAGCTAACCCGGCGGTCGTCTCTGGACGGTCCTAAAAAATACATGACTGAGGCGATTCTTGGAGTGCAGAGCTGAAATGTGGGTAGATAGATTAAGTTTACCTAAAGTTTATGTATGGAGGACAAACGGACTGGTTGTGCGACAGCAGTTTCTGAATCTGAACAACGATTTACAGAAGGATCAGTAGAATATATTTTCAAATAATTTCAACATTTCAAAGTAAAACAGGGGCAGAGGGGAGAAGAGATAAAAATGTGTGAGGCTTATGTACCCAGAAATAGTCCATGAGTACAAGCCATCTTAACATGTTGCACAGTACAAATAACTACAAGCACCACAGCTGTATGCTTAACATCCCAGTGACCAAAGCTATTAAAACAGAATGAAAAATTACCCCACCTATATTCCCAGTGCTGTAGTTATACTAACAAGCAAATGTTCATCTTGAGCAACTGTTCATCTAATTAGCTGCACAACGGGCTGACTATGCGGGAATATGACGGCGCCAGTCACAAGGTCACATGACTTTCCCAGGATATGTGGCCTTTTATAATTTTCTGTGTCATCCTGGAACATCTGGCCCAGATTAGGCCCATGTAAATGTGACACTCGGTATGGCCGGACAATCTGTTGCAGCATCGCACAAATACATGGGCGCACACACACACACACACACACACACACACACACACACACACACACACACACACACACACACACGCAGACGGACAAAAACAGACACAGTCAGACACACACACAGGGCCTGTCTGCACAGGGGATAATGCAAAACCACTATCTGATGCATCCATAAAGAGGCTTTCTGTTTCTCATGGAAATGGAGCAAGCCCATTGTTAGATGCTGTTTAAAGATTTCAGACATGGGCAGGGCAGAAGCTTATCTGGTCACCAAATACCATTTTAAACAGAGTACAGTCCCGCACCAACTGTGGATTTAGTACTCTACTTACAAATGCATTAAACTTAACTATAGTCAGTCAGAACCTCTGCGAACATTTGGTAATGAAAAAGATTCTAATGATCTGAATAGAGACAAATGTGTTGACTTGTTCTATTTAACTGTCAGCATTGGGGTCCACTGACCATACTTTACCTAAACCTCATTCATGGAGCTGTTCAAGGTATAGCCTAGTAGATGTGAGGGTAATGTTTACTCAGGATCAAAATTATCCCGAATAATGCTGCTTGTCCCAATGCGTTCTTAATGGAATCCTCACAGTCCTCACGCCTCAAATGAAGGCATGCTCCATTCCATCTCCTTTGCATTTTTCTACTAATTGTGTCCTGATGAAGGCTTATTGAAGGCTCATTCATCAGTTCAGTGCATTCTCTGCTCATTCTCTGCTCTCTTCAGTGGTTTGCACTCCAGTGTTTTGTTGTGGGTGGGTGTGAGAGATGCCTTGTGTTTTTCCAGATGACTGTCCAATGTGGCATTCATCTGGGGGAGTTATTGGGTCTGGTGCCCAATTCTAGCACAGATGTTTAACAGGTGGTGGATAGTGTTGCATTAAATGTTTTGGTATGAACAAATATGGAACAGGTGTGTGTGTGTGTGTGTGTGTGTGTGTGTCTGTGTGTGTGTGTGTGTGTGTGTGTGTGAAATACAGTACCTTGTGTTCAGGTTTCTAAATATCCATTACATTGCATAAAGATCTATTAGTTAAAGTAATCAAAACATTACGGACCATTCCTTTCTATTAGGGCTGACCCTATTTAGTCGACTGGTTGATTGTTTGGTCGATAGGATGTTGGTCGACCGAGATTTCTTTAGTCGAACAGTAGAAAAAAAATTATAAAAAAATTATGCTGTACAATACTGCCTGATTCGCATTTGTCTGAGTGGACTGATCCATTGTGGAGGCCGTGGGGATGGCACAGTCCATCAGACTAAGACATTTGCTACTGAAATTGTTTATGGTTATATTATGTAAGAACAATGGTGCAACACAAACATTTTGTAAAACTATTTTATAACAAATGCGGTTTCTCCCGCGTTAGATAGTGGTCGCTGTCCACAATTCTGAAACACATCAGTGCGCTGTTGAATTGGCGCCTTTTCCTAGACCATGCTGCTCTGTGCATAATAGAAAAGTTAACCGCATATTGGTGTTGAGAACAATGCGGCGGAGGCAGCAGCGGAGTTAGGAGACGAGAAAACAGCCCTTGCCTTAATTGTCTAAGAAAAGTGAGGAGATAGGAAACACCAACTTAATTAGATCTATAATCAATAGCAGGGGCGCCACTTTGGTTTTAGAAGTGGGGGGAACATAACCTGGTGGGGGGTCTGGGTGTCCTCCCCCAGAATGTTTGGGCCATCTAAAGCTCATTTCCTGCATTTTTACACAATCCAATATGCCGTCTCCATTTAGAACAAAAAGTATGCAAAAATGCCCATAGTCATCAAGCTAGGTAAGAGATCATTATTAAACATGTTTAAGTAGTTAATAAGACTGAACTAGATCAAAGGTAATTAAATAATAAATATTGTGTTGCACCTTTAACCGATAGCCTAACAAAAAATACAAAGACTTTTGATTGTCTTTATTAAGACATTCTCTATATCAAATTTCAGCCAGACCGACCAGCAGCACGAGCCGCCTGCACGCCCAATCCCCACCAGTCTAGTCAATAACTCAACTCTCACCCAACACAATTTCCTTCCCAGTTCACGCCTTTAATTTGTTAAATTCCCAAAGGAAAGGTTTAGAAACAACAACAAAAAAACACAATCACCTCAAATATACATTAACACACAGAAACAGAAAATCCTCCATATAATTATTATCATACTACTAATAGTACTGTAGAGCTCTTTTTACTTGCACACAATATAGTTGGGTCACCCTGTCCTGTCCCTAGGGGTCCACCACCCTGCTGTTTGTCAGACTGCCTTAAAATAGCATCTGGCTTGTCCAATGTTTGCTGCACAGAGAGAATAAAGTGTTGTATCTGCAAAAAATTAACCTCACCTCCGTCACAGACTGGTCTTCCCTGGCTGCCTGACCCTGCTGAGACCCCGGTCACCATCTGATCCTCCTAAAATGAGGCATGACAACGAATGACCTTGGTGTACATTTATACATGATATTATCCAAGAATAGAATCAATGGTTCAATCATTGAAATGACGTGGTCCTCTGTAGCTCAGCTGGTAGAGCACGGCGCTTGTAACGCCAAGGTAGTGGGTTCGATCCCCGGGACCACCCATACACAAAAATGTATGCACGCATGACTGTAAGTCGCTTTGGATAAAAGCGTCTGCTAAATGGCATATTATTATTATTATTACCATTATTCCCAGATCCCGGACTGTAGCATTAAGCTTCAGCTGCTGTCCTGTCGCTACTGTAGGTCTACCCATCAATTCAAGATGGAATCATTCACTGATATTGTTAATATGCTGCAAAATTCACCTGAGTTCCGTAGACTGGTATTCCCTGGCTGTCTGACCCTGCTGGGACCACTGTCACCATCTGATCCTGCTAAGGATGATGAGCATAGTGTTGTGTACTGACTGCAGTAGACGGCTACATTCCCGCGAGATGCCTGCGGGACCTGCGGGTCCCGACAGAGATCATTGCGGCGCGGTCTGCATTTTTCATGCTAAGGGGCGAGAGCGGGCGGTCAGACAGATGTTTTTGTTGTCCCACAGATTATTTGGAAACGGTCTTCTTTCTGCTTTGTATGCGTTAGCCTACCTATTGTATTAAAAGCACATATTTTTCGCATTAGTCACACACTGAGAATTCGCTGCTTCAACTTCAGTAGCCTACCTCTCCTAGTTGGGCGTGACAGTTCAAGTGCGCCTAGTATGTGTGGTCTCATTGAAATAGAGTAGGCTGCCTACATGGGCGGAGAATCACGTGGCAGTTAACTTGAATATGAAATTAACTTCAATATGATTAGACTGTAGTTTACTACAGTGTCTGTAAATAAATATTAATAATGGAAAGAAGTGGAGGGCGCTCAACCAACGTGAGTCAAAGTGCAATCAAAATATTGAATCATCATTGAAAAGCAAAAAGGCACAAAGCACACATAGGTTAGGCTACTATGGTGAGCGAGCGTTGCGCCTTCTCATTTTCAATAAGCATTGATTACCCATTTATTTGTCTCTGCCTGCAAATCGTCGTTCTAAAAGGTAGGTTATATCCTATAGGCCTCTGCAAAA